TACCTGCTGTCCCCCAGGGCATCCTTGGCCTCCTTCTGGCTGGGCTTCCTGTCGTCCTCCTCCGTTTCGCTGTGGCTCTCGTGGCTCTGGAAGCTGCCCTTGCTCCCTTGCTGCCCTCCTGGCTCCCCTTGGTGGCAAACTCGTAGTGGTGGTCGGCCGGGGGGGAGGCGGAGGAGACGGAGTCGCTGGTGGGCGAGGTCCTCTGGGCGTTGGAGGACTTGGCACTGCTGTAGTTGTGGTCCTCCTTGGGGTCTCCGCTGACCACGGGGGAGCCGCACGATGGCTCACTCTCAGTCCGCATCCGGCAACTGGTGATGCCGTTCCTCATGGCTGCCATCATTCCAATGGGAGTGATCGGCAATGGCCGGATGCCAGGAAACAGCCCTCGCTCAGAACCCGCGCTCCATTTTGTATCACTCCTGGAGAAACTGCTTGTATCTCAGGGGGAGTATTCAAAAGCATCATGGCACTGGCAGCATCAATGTCAGGATCTTGCAGAAGGGCTCCGTTTCTCTTGAAGAAGGTACTGCCCGGCCAGATGGGTGGACCTGATGGGCTTTGATATGCCTGAGGAGAGGTGGGAGGAGGTGGGAAGGTGTCTTTTTCAAAGCCTGAATTAGATTTTGTCTATACTCTGGGTCTAAGCACCATAACGACCCTTTCCCAATTCTCTGACTCCTCTCTTTGTCCACTTTTTCTTAAAACACTTATTCAATGACAAATTATGTCTCACTGAGTTTCTCCACCCAGTAGGTGCATTCGCAAAATACGGAAAATGTTCCAAGATCCAGTTGTAGATATCCTTCACTGGCAGGCGCTTGGTTGGAGAGTCCTCGGTGGCCAGGAATATGAGGCAGCTAAAGGAGTAGGGGGGCTTGCAGTTGGGGTCCTGCCTGGCATCACAGGGCGTGTCAGAATGGGCTGGGGATGGACGGGGCTGAGGACCAACTCCCCAAAGCTCTTCAGCAAGTTCTTGCAGGCATGCAGCCAGTTCAGCTCTTCGTCTTCCACGGTCCCCCCTTCTAATCTGACGTCAGGCAGAGAAAAGTCAGGTCATCGACTTCCTGAAGGGCCTTGGAGAAACCACTGCCCCGGTATCACTGACTCAGTCCACTGGACACACTGATTCCTGAGCTTTCTGGCTTCTTACTGGCAGGCATGACTGGACCCATTTACGCGAAGGCTCCTGGCCCGATCGGGACACGCCCTTCAGCGGAGCCGACAAACTTTCGCGGGCGCCCAGCGGGCATCGCTTGGTGGCCCTGCTAAGGACGCGCGGGCACGGGTGGCAGGGGCGCGGGGTCGCAGCGTGGCGTCCGGGATGATCTCTCTAATCACTCATCTTTAAAGCATCTTGCCTTTTCTTTTTTGAATGGCAAGACTTCTTTTCCCGAATCTCGAGTGTGTTTGGGTCTAGAAGGTTCCTCTGTTCCCGAGACGCTCTTCCCGGCCCCGGGGGGGGGTTGTGTGGCTCCCGATCTTTGCCTTTCCATGCCGTGGACTTTCCCGCGCTGGGCGAGGGTGCTGTGGCCCTGGGCTCTCTGGTCCCCTGTGTGTGGTGGTCCATTTTCTGATAGGCTCAGGCAGGTGGGGCAGGTGACATGAGCTCTGTGAGGTCTGTGGCTTGTCCACTGTTGGGCTTCCTGTGGAATAGGTGAGAGGAGGTGGACAACAGAACTGGGCACTGGGTCCAGGATGCCCGCTCCATCCTGGAGATGAGCGCTGTGCCTCCTGGTGGGCATGGGCTATCGGGCACCCTGTGGTGGGGCCTGCCGGGTGGTGCCAGGTGCAGAGCCGGTTCCCCTCCCACATGGCCCCGCTCCTGTTGCTGGGCCTGCTGAGGGGGCAGGGCGGCTGGAGCTCTGGCCGGGGCAGCACCCAGCTCTTGTGCTCCCCACTGCTTCCTGGCCACGTCCCCTCCTGGGAGCGGGTCTTGGGGGCTGTGGCAGGGACAGTGGGCTCAGCCCCCGGGCTGCGGGGGACGTAGGACTGTCTCAGCGGTGGCTTCTCATGGCCAGTGCTGCTTTTGGGTGTTTGGTGGACTCACCTTGTCTGCCTGCAGGCTGGACACCGGGTTCTCCGAGTGTCCCCAGCCCCTGACCGCAGCCCAGCTCTCTCTGAACAGCCGGCTGCCGCAGCCCGGCTCACTGTTGTGACCTGTCAAGAGCAGCATTCCATGTGCCTTCTAGTTTCAGTAAAGCATTTTACTGTTTTTCTACTTAGGTACTTTTATTTTCCTGTATTTTTGTTTTTGTTTAGTTATAAAATATTTTAAACACAGCAACGTTGGGAGACTTAACTGGTGAGTATCGCCCGGGGAACGCTGGTTTTACTGCACACTGGGCTCTCCACCAGATGACCCCAGCAGCCACTCGGCCAGTGCACATCGATGCATTTCAGGGTCAGTGCAAACACAGCAGCTTCCCTGGGCCTTCAGCCAGGGCGCGAGCCAGGGCCCAGTCCTCCTGTTTCTGTGTGTGACATCAGTGGACGCGCTGGACACCTGGCCCGACCCTCTCTGCAGACCCTCCTGACCCGGCAGTTTCCTGGCCTCACAGCCTGCTGGCCAGGGCTGCAGCCACACCTGGTGCCCGCTGTGGGCTGGCTGTGGCCGACTTAGGACATGCCCTTCCGCTGGGCAGGAGGCCCCTGCCTGTCCTGCTGGCCCCGATCCAGTCTCTGGGGCCACGGGCCATGGGCCTCTTTTTGGTGTGAAAGCTCTTCCCACAACGGACAGTGGCCACAGCCTCCCAGGCTCCTCCTCCTCCGCCTCCCTCAGCTTCCAGGCTCCACAAGAGCCCTGGACAGAGGTCCCAGGGTGACACCAGGGGACGGAGGTGCCCTTGGACTCAACAACCTGCATCCACTCCCTCCAGAGGGGCCCTGAGCCCAGGCCCCTCGCCCTGGCAGTGGCTGTCAGAGAGACCAGCGGGGTAGGACCTGCAGCCGGCACAGGGCAGGACGGCACAGGGCAGGACGGCACAGGGCAGGACGGCACAGGGCAGGACGGCACAGGGCAGGACGGCACAGGACCACGAGGAAGCGCTCGGGGAAGGAAGAGCAACCTGAGCTGAGGATCAGATGGCCTCACTGCTCATGGGTGACTAAGATTCAGGGATCGGGACCAGGACACCATGGCCACAGGGGACGTGAGTCCATCACAGATGTGGGACTCAGTGGAGGAATCTGGTGTCGGGACAAAGAGAAAGTCTTCGGTGGTCACCAGGGCAGAGGTGGTCCTCACATAATTCATCAGCAGCAGGAGGGGGTGCTGCAGGGGACGGGCCTGCAGACCAGGGTGGGCAGGAGAGCTGGCAGCACACAGAGGGTGGGCAGTTCAGGGCACGCAGCAGGCCCCCTGGCAGGGGCTGGGCACACACACAGGGGCTGGCCAGCAGGAGGACGGGGCCCAGCACCGGGAGGCAGGACAGGCTGGGGGCAGCCCAAGGAGCAGCTGGTGTGGCCGAATGAGGCCGACGCCCTGTCCCGGATGGCTTCCTGCTCTGCCCACTCTGCTGACCTCCCTCGGCTCCCTCAGTCCAGGAAGCCCTTTGCCAGCTGCAGGCGCCCGAGACGCAGCTGGCTGTGTGCTTTCTGAACTCGGAGGCCGGTTAGCTGGAGGCCGACTGTGGAGGCCAGGGGATGCCACCTCCTGGGTTCCCAAGGTCCCCCACTGCAGAGGCCCTGTCTGGTGTCCCCACAGCACAGCACGCTCCTGGCCCCAGGCCCCGCTCAGATCCTCCATGTCACAGACATGTCATCCTCGCCTGTGACGGACAGTGACCCTCAGTCTGTCCCCTGTTCTTCTGACTGGGTGACCGCTGCTGCCATCTTCGAGCTCAGGGTCTCTCCTCGATGTGGCTACTGTGAGGCCCGACGGGTGGAGTTCATGTCGGCTGCTGAACTTTTCTGGGATTCCTACTTCATAAGCGTCCCTCTCCCTAGAGTCCCTGCTCACGCGGCAGCAGCTCTCCGCTGGCCTCTCCCCTGCAGCAGCTGCTGCTCCCTGGTGCCCATCTGAGTGCTCTGGGGACTACGTTCCTGGTCGTCTTTCCCGTCTGGTCATTGGGACTGCACTCCAGCCTCCGGGTTCTGACTGCTGGTCCTGGCCTGGGAGACGGCGTGCGGTGGGCTGTGTGGGAAGGGGTCCTCAGCTCTCTAACCCGAGGGTCTCCACGTCCACCTGCTTCCAAGGAAGTCCTGATGTGAGTTGGCTTGGGCTTCGCTTGGCTGGCGGTCGATTTCCCCAGGCCCTGGGCCGGGGTGTAGCCGCAGCTGGACGCTGTGGGCGTCCACTGTCCATCCTGCTGCACCTCCTCCTGGTGGCCTTCCCCAGTAGTTGCGGCCCACCCCTCCACAGGTTCCAGGCGCCTGCTCCACTGCTGGGCCCCGCTGCTCAGGTCCCGGGCTTCTGCTGTCCGCCTGCTGCCCGCCCCGTGCAGAGGGCCAGGGCTTTCATGTTTTGCTCGCTGCTGATGGCACGGCAGCTGGGACAGTGGCCGCAGCCTTGGGAGCACGGCCTGCGCTGCTGTGGCTGCTCACCGCGGTGGCCGTCTCCCGCCTGGTCTCTGGGGCACAGTTAGTGGAGCGCTCTGCTGGCCGCCGGCCATCCAGGTGCCCAGTGGCCTTCCAGAGTAGCTCCTGTCTGTCCCAGCGGGTCCTGGTCCAGGCAGCAGATGCTGAGGAGGCACTGGGAGACCCTCACTCGGCTTCAGTGTGGACCCAGTGGAGAGGGCTGACAGGCACCGGGGCTGAGCCCCTGCTCCCCGCTGACGGGGGTCGCGGTCGGCCAGGGCTGAGGCTTCAGAGCCGCCGAGACGACCCCCGTCCATGGCGGCTGTCCTGGAACGCCTTCCACCATGGGGCAGGGGCTTCGTGCTGGGCTCCCGGTGCTGCGGGAGGAGCGGGCAGAGCGGGCAGAGGACCCACAGGGACAGGAGTGAGCCTGCTCACACGCCTGTCGGGCCCACGCGTGTGCGCTGGTGTGCGGGCTGCGGGCCCCGCGCCGTGCAGGCCTGGGAGACGGCCTCAGGGGGCCACTGCGAGCTGCCCTGCATCCCCCCAGGGTCTCCCCCAAGCCCTTCCGAGGCGCCACTCTGCGCCATGTTCCAGGGCCTGCTCGCTGTTGGGGAGGAGAAGGTGACCCAGGGACTGGAGTGGAGGGAGGAGGACGCAGGAGGCGGCCTGTGCAGTGTGCACGGCCCGGGGGAGAGCCTGGGCAGGGCACAGCTGCCCATCTGCTGTGTCCCTCCTTTCCTCGGCTGTACAAGGACAGAGCCATCGGGAGGACAGGAGAGATGACCCGATGGGAGGCCCCGTCCCCCTGATGGGCACAGGAGCACCGCCATGTCCACCACCCACCCTTCCCCTCCTGGCCCAGGATGGTCTCCGAGCCTCTCTTCTTGTCCGCTGCTCTCTGTCTCTGGCCCCTCCCTGGGCTCTGGGAATCTCACAGAAGCAGCTCAGGACACGGGTGGAGCCACCAGAGCCAGCGAGGCCCCGGGCAGTTCCCAGGGTGCAGAGCTCCAGGAAGGGGCCATTAGTCACGAGGCCAAGCAGAGCAGCCACAGCGACAGCAGCCATGTGAGCGTGGCCCAGGCCGAGGAAGCAAGCCAGGAAGACCCGGCTGAGCTTCCGTGTTGCCCGGACGCCCAGCCAGCATATAAGGGCTGCCAGGGGAGGAGGTGCCAGACCTCACCACCTCCTCCCCAGCACCAGCCAGCCTCAGCCACCATGTGCCACACCAGCTGCTCCTCAGGCTGCCAGCCGGCCTGCTGCCTGCCCAGCCCCTGCCAGGCGACCTGCTGCGTGCCCGTGAGCTGCAGGCCCACTGTGTGTGTGCCCGTGAGGTGCCAGGTGGCCTGCTGTGCGCCCGTGAGCTGCAGGCCCATCGTGTGTGTGGCCCCCTCCTGCCAGTCCTCCGGGTGCCTTCCCGTGAGCTGCCGTCCTTCCGTGTGTGTGGCCCCCTGCTGCCAGTCCTCGGGGTGCTGCCAGCCCCCCTGCCCCACCCTCCTCTGCAGACCCGTCTCCTGTAGCACCCCCGCCTGCTGCTGACCCCAGGCCACAGACCAGCTGCTCCCAGGGCAGGCGGCCACCCCTGCACCCTGCCAGCACTGGGGACGGTGGAAAGCACGGCCAGTGGCCCCTCTGCACTGGGGGCGAGAGCGGGAGGACGGTGCTGATGCCCCTGCCCTGCGTGTCCCCGGGCAGTCCTGGCCCCAGGGGCCTTCTCTAAGCCCACGTGAGCTAATAAACCAGCCTCCCGTTCGCAGCTGTAGCTCTGTCCTTCCTCTGAGCTGGCCTGGCCATCTATCCTGGTGACCTCTCTTCACATGGTTGATGGGGAGCCCTGGGTGGGGAATCGGCCTGAGGCCCAGTGTCCAGGTGGTGCGGGTTGGGGACAAGCCTCTGGCCTGTGGCCTGCTTCCCAGCAGAGTTCCTTCCCGCCGCTGGGCGCTGCCTGGAGGCCTGAGGCCTGGCGCCTCCCCTCAGGGACGTCCTGGTTCCCCAGGTCGGCCCCGTCTGTCTGCACCTCAGGCTCTCAGGGCTGGACCAGCTCTGTAGGTCCTCCCACCGCTGTCCACAGACATCCGGTTGATTGACCAACAACTGTCACAGCCTGAGCAGGAGTGCGCGAGGTCCCAGCACAGAAACCAGACGCGCCAACAGCTCACCAGCAAGGTCTCGGGGCCGCCAGGGTCGGCAGTGCTTACTCTTATCTGTCCCCCAAAACTATAGTTGGGGGCTGGGGAGGTGGCTCAAGTGGTGTACAGCACCTGGCGTGCGCGGGGCGCTGGGTTCGATCCTCAGCACCATGTAAGAATAAAATAAAGATGTCGTGTCCACCTAAAACTAAAAATAAATAAATAAATAAACTGCAGTGGACTCAGGCTTCTCTGTTGGCCTGCAGTGTGCTTTTGTGTCGAGTGGCCTTTGAGGACGTGGGCTCTGGAGTAAGCTCTTCTCCGCAGGGTGTTGGAGAGAGTCCTCTGCTTTGTGGGTGAGCTTCCCCCTCTGGCCCCATGGTTCTGAGGTGACCATTAGCTTACATTTCCCGGGAGACGGGCCGCTTCCTCAGGAGCTGGTTCCAAGTTCTGCTGCTCCGGGGTCAGCCTGGGACCTGACCTTCCCTGGGCTGCACGCTGGCTGCCCCGGGCTCCACCTTTTCATTTATGCCCTAGAGGCCTGTGGTGAGGTTGCCCGGTGGCCTGGGTCCTGTCGTGTGGTCTAAATGGGGGCTTTGGATGAACCTGAGTCAGAGGCGACGGTCAGCCTGAGGGCCCACGCGCTGCATCGCGCATGCACAGAACACTCTGTGTGAGCACGCCTGACACGCAGTGTCATGCACCACCCTGGCACACGCCTGCTTCCCACTGTCCTGCACCCCGGCGTCCACAGCCCAGGGCTGTGGTGCAGTGGGCTAGGTTGCCGGGTGACCCAGCGGCTACTCAGAGGGAATGCCCACCGTCCCTCCAGGGGCGTGGCTGGACCAGTAGCACTGCTGTTTCTCACCAGAAGACCTCCCCCAGCGCTCTGTCTGGTGGGTGGTGGCCGGCTGGACGAGGACTAGCCCGGCCAGTGCTCTCACACTGGGCACCGGGGAGGGGTCCTGCAGGTCAGGCTGCCGAGGCAGACGTCGCTGGTCCAGCTGCCAGGCATGCAGCGTGGCCGAGAGCAGCTGTCCGAGGAGGGCGCCAACCTGCCCCATCTTCAGGGCAGCGCCTACTGGACGTGCTCACTGTCCCCTTCTAGGCTCTGGGGACAGTGAGGTGCAGCAGGGCTTGGTATCCACTGTGCTGTGCCCCACACCTGCCGGGCACCTTCACGTCATGGGGGTGCGTGTGCAGACGGGCGGCACTCGGGCTCCAGGTTGGGGAGCGGGCAGGACCAGGGAAGGGACGGGAGAGTAGAGAGCTTCTGAGAAGGCCTGGCCTGGCGCAGCGTGGCCGCAGCCTCTGTGGGGACATGCTCACCAGGTCTGGCCACGCAGAGCAGGGGCCTCTCCTGCGACTGCAGCTCCCCCCGGGCTGCACAGCAAGCGGCTGCGGGAGAAGGCCGGCGAGGAGGCCAGCGAGGAGGCCGGTGAGGAGGCCGGCAAGGAGGCCGGTGAGGAGGCCGCGGAGCCCAGTCCAGGGGCGGGGTGGTGCGGCAGGCGCACAGTGGCTCGCTGGAGCCCCGAGCGGGCGGTGGGCTGCGCTCCGAGGGCACGGGAGGCCTGCCCCCAACGTCAGAGGACAGAGTCGACCGAGGCTGGCGAGCCCGCTTCCCAGCTGGACCCGGGGGCTCCTGCAGCGTGGGGGGCTGGCCGGGGGCCCGTGGCCTTGAGCTGGACGACACTCTGTCACCCTGTGCCCTCAGGCTGCCTAGCTGGCACCGTGGGCTTCTCCATGTGCATGCCGTGTCTTAATAAAGTCCTGAACACTTCTGCGGGCGTCTCTCTCACTTGGATTGCACACCTGTCTGCGCTGGTGTGGCTTGTAGCGTCACATTGCTGATGACAATGACTCGGGGAATATCATGGTTTGGATGTGGGGTCCCCCAGAAGCTCAGGTGTGACATAATGCGAGAAGTTCGGAGGACAGAGGACTGGGTTAGGAGCGCCTTAACCCAGCCCGGGAATCGTCTCCTGGTAGGGGCTACTGAGTGGCGGCTGGAGGCAGGTGTGGCTTAGGGGTCTCTATTTGTGTCTCTGCTTCCTGGTCACCAGGTGAGCTCCTTCCCTCTGACACACTCTGCCACCACGATGCTCATGTCACCTTGAGCCGGGTATGGAGCTGGCCTTCTTCGGGCTGAGACCTCTGAATCCGGAGCCTCCAAGTGGACTTTCCAGTTCTGCAGTTGCTCTGTCGGGCCTTGGCACAGCTGAGAGGAAGCGGCCGGACCCTGGGTCACTGGGACGCGAGAGTGTAAGCAGGAGCATGGAGTCCTTCTGCTGTCAGTGTCAATGGCTCCACGGTCCCCAGGGAGCTTAGGGAGCACTGTCAGGGAGGGAGCTTTAGCCCAGGTGCGGGTCACGGCTTTCTGGGGCAGGTGCCCACCATCCATCACTGTAGGGTCTGTGCATGGACGACAGAGCTCAGGCCTTCCCGGCTGTACTGAGCTGTCTGTCTGTCTGTCTGGGCAGAGCTCAGGCCTTCCCGGCTGTACTGAGCTGTCTGTCTGTCTGTCTGGGCAGAGCTCAGGCCTTCCTGGCTGTACTGAGCTGTCTGTCTGTCTGGGTAGAACACAGGCCTTCCTGGCTGTACTGAGCTGTCTGTCTGTGTGTCTGGGTAGAGCTCAGGCCTTCCTGGCTGTACTGAGCTGTCTGTCTGTCTGGGTAGGGCTCAGG